GAGGACTCTTTTTTCCTCCATAGCTTACCTGTCTAATATCAATCTGTCAGGAGATAGTGACAGAATGAACAAATATGTAAAAAATACATTTTTAGAAAAGTTACATACTGCACCTTTAACTGCCCCCTCCCCGCTTCCCTGAATGTACAGCACCTTGTGAATTTATTTCTGTGAAAGGCGCTATTTAAATAAAACTTTACTTTACTTACTTTACTTTCTTGGCCTAGACCAAACTGTAAATCAATGTAAATTAAATTAAAAATAAATTTGTGTGATTTTTTTAAGCATAAGTTGCGCTGAGCAACTGACTGTAACAGTTTCAGCTCAGACTGCAACACTTCCTGAAGGAATATCAAACTGTTACTGCCAGAATAAATGTGAAACTGACTGCAACAAGTCAAAAATTAATATTTACATGAAAATTTTACATTTTTTATTTATTTAGAGCCTGTCCTGTCCCGTGACAATGGATTAAATAAAAGTGTGACCATGAGTTAATAAATCCACAAGCCACAAGATTGAGTCAGACTACATGTGAATACTTGCTTTTGTGTTTAAAGTCATATTCACACCTGATAGTCCGGTAGACTTGGTTCGATTGGGGGCCAAAATTGCAAAGTTTGTTCACATTCTCATTGGTGTGGTTCACATTCACTAAAGCCTGTGAATAACCCCCACACCCAACCTGTGGGGGCGCTGCACCAAGAACCACTGAGGGAATCAACATGAAAATCTCAGAAGAAGACGTGGAGCTTCCTTCATCACAAAATGTAAACATGGAGTAATGTCAGATTTTAGTGGTTGTAGGATTTATTTTTTTGTTTTTGGCAAATAGTCTTCAACAGTGAGCCCAGCATACGAGGAAGACGAGGCGGAACCACGGAGAATATTGTTTTCCACACAAGGCGGCTGAGACGGCTCCATGTGAGGCGGCGTTCACCGAGAAGGAGCGCGTCCAAATTCACAGCCGTGATGTCCACCTCATACAGACATCCAGCGAGGTATTTACAAGATATGTGTAACTTTATCACTGTTATTACTCAGAATGCCCTGCGTTAAAGTCCGCTTCCTGCTTTTGGAGCGGTCTCCGGTCTGCTTGGTGTTCACACATGCAATCGAACCGCACCAGAGTTCACTTTAACCAAACCAAGACCTAGGTTTGCAAACAGACCAGAGTTGGCTTTCACGCCTCCCCAAATAAACTGGACTTTCTAGGCAAACAAACTAGAGGTTGATTAAAGCCGACTAAACAAAGCTTGTGTGAATGCACCCTAAATGTTCAAAGGTACAGCACACTTATTTTTTCATTTTAGTATATGTTTAATCCAAATGTTACTGCCATTGTACAATCTAAACAGTTCATTTTTCATAGTACTGTTTATGAGATTACAATCCTAAGTGTCGCAAAATGTTTTTTCCCCATTTTCCTAAATGTGACATAACTTCGCCTCGGCACAGAGCAAGAGAGGAGCTCGGTTTGAGTGTTGAGCTTCAAATAAAATGAAGCTTTATGGACAAAGACAACTTCATCACCTGTGTCTAATAGCTGCAACGTATAATGCTATATTTCATGCCTGACCACAAGTTACTAAATATTAAAGTAAAATTAAATGAACTCAAACTTCATGTTTACAATCATCAGCCTCTGCATTGAAATGACTGTAATAATTATCTTGTGGCCACACATTATTTATTTTTATCCAATGCCACCGGACGTGCTCTGTGGCTCTGCTCAAACTAGCTCATTGGTTTGGTGAGAAATAAACTATTTTTTTCAAACAGAAATTGTTCAAAGTACTATTTGAAAGATTGTAACTGTTCATATCCTTTCCATAGATTCCGTTTCAAAATGTACCTTCATGTGCTTGAGGTTTTTAATGTGTTTTGAAATGTAACCGCACATTTGTGGGGTCTGTAGAGCTAACGTTACTGTAGATCTCAACTTCTCGTTAAGTTGTGTCCCACAGTGTCCTGGTAGACTTTCTCAGTGAGGAATCGTGTACACATCAAAAAGAGAAGAGAAAAAAAACCTGATTCAGATCAAATGAATCCACTTTTCTTGTCCAACTCACTGGGTTTCATAACATCTGTTTTTTCCCTGCATTGTTGACCTGAAGTAAAGGGGTATCTTTAACCGTCTTGTCCGGAGAGGACATCTATGAGGACGAGAAAATTATGGCTGCACCCCTTAATTATTAAACAAGTGTGTCAGCAGCCTGGTCTGACGGAGGTAATGCACAAAGGAAGTGGGCCAAAAAGTGGACCTCTGGGATTGACGGGGTGAGGCTGGGTGGGTATTGGCCCTCATCTCAGGGTGGCGTCAGCCTCCAGAGCGTTGCCGCAGCGTTTTCGACACCTTGTTGTTTCTCAGTAGTGAGTGCGACAGCAGAGAATCAGTGATTTGGTTTTCCACAGCTGTGAAGTCAACACCAGAGGACACTTGTGATTTGATCTAGATTCAATCATCTGATACTGTGCATGCACAGCTGATTGGGCTTCAGTGAAAAAAAGCCCTTGAGGAGCATTTTGGATGACATCAACAGGAACGGCGTGGCACTTTTGTAGAAGGGATACAGGATGAGTGTCTGTCTTCAAAGAAATCGATCTGGGAACATCAAGAAGCCTGACTCAGGCAAACTTGCCATCCTTTATGAGAGTGTGTGTGTGTGTGTGTGTGTGTGTGTGTGTGTGTGTGTGTGTGTGTGTGTGTGTGTGTG